AGCATGTGGCAGAAGCAGTAGAACACACATCTGAGGTCTATCTGGAATCAAAGCTTACAGCTATTCTTGTAGATCACAGAATTATTAAGTTTAAAAGTACTGTGTATATTTCTTAGAACTTGAGACCACATTTGGTATTAAGAAGTTTGAAGTAAATATCTTTTTAATATGTCATTCAAATAATCTATGTTTTATTTTTTTCTGATGAAACATTACTGGAGATCAGACCTAATACATTGGTTAGATCAGATCAAATTTAATGTAAATTAAGATTTGTATGTCAAAATATGAAAGTTCATATTTGAATTATTATCTTTACTGCACAGATAAGAAAACACTTATCTTGCCAACTAAAGGTATTTTAATCTCAGACATTGAACAAAATTTTTCTGAGTAACTCTTTATTATTGCTGGGCATGTTTGACAGTAGTATGGCCACCACACTGAACAAAAACGTTTCTCACACTAAGTACTCACATTTCAGTAAATTAATGTTTCTCTCTGGTTCTCATTTCTATTTTTTCTCTGTTTCTGGATTTTCTCAAAGATGGTATTTGGATAGAGGACAGAGTCTGTATACTTCATGATATGTGTGTGGCATTGATCCCACTTGGATATTCATTACCAGTTAGCTTCTAGTTGTTGATGTCTGTCCCCCAGGGACTGCTGCAGTTGCCGTAGACACTGTATCATGGATGGCATGTGGTGAGTCTCCCTCCTCCTCCTTGTTATCTATCTCATGTGTTTTCTGCTGAATTCTATAATTCTCTCATCAAGCTTGTAAATGCAATGTCTCTTAACTCCAGGCCTATTTGTTCTCTGAAATAAAAACCTTTCTAGTGCATCCAGCCCTCACAGCACTTGTGTATTGTGAGGACTGTAAACTTCAACTGCTTTTTGTTATCTCCATTGAAACATGAGAGACCCCTGTGAATTTTCTATCAGGTCCAAATACTTCAATATCTCCCTTGCTTTTATCTATCTGTTTTCTCCATGCCAAGTTTGATGATGAATTCTTATTCTCTTACAAAAGCCAGGGATTTTGAATCAAGCGAGGATAATAATGTTTAAACTCTGAAATGCCTTTCTCCTTTTCTTCCCAGATGGCTTCCTCCAGTCCAAGGAAGGTTTTTCTTTCCTTATGTAATCCCATGAAAGATACAAAAAACAATCTAAAAAACTAAAAAATATTACAAACTAAAAAATATTGAATTTTAATATACTGTGTGACTGGAGATGTTGTAGAGGACCATAATTTAATGCTATGCAATGACTCTTGCTTAGCACTTTTTGGGATTAAAACGGTCACTGTCCTTTTTGAAAATATGGCTGTGTCTCATAACCTATGAAAAATGGTGGAAGGATTCAAGTATTTGGAGGAAACACAATATATCTGAGAAGTAATATTTCAAAAATCATACATTTTACTATATTCAGTTTTGGGTAAATGAAAATTTATACCAAAAAACCCACATTAACACACACAAACACAACTCTGTGTATATCCTTAGATTCAAACTTAATCATTCTAAAAGCAATGAAACAGCACCTCTTTAAATGAAGTGTATTGGAGAATCAGTAGAAAAATTACAGTCAAAATTAATGTCTTTTTTACATGTATATTAAATAAAATGTAGATGATTTTGTGTATAGTATCTTGCATGGTCATATTTCTGAGTATATGTTTATATAATACATTGTAAACAGAAAAATAGTTGTATAAAGTTTTTGTCTTTACATAAAAGAAAGATGCTTAACTAAGTTTTGAAAGTCACCTGTACCTATGTTGACACTACATTCTTCTACATCAGTAAAAGAGCCATAGCTTCTCTTACCTTCTCCCACACCTCTTTCCCTATTATTTGTTTGTTGTCTTTGCTTGTTTGCTTGCTTTTTTGTTTTTTTTATATGATCTGATATATTACGATTTACTATTGTACTATAGTAATAGTAAACTTGAAACTTTCCATATTTTTCTATCACACCAGGAAATAAAATTCAAACTGCTTTCTTCTATTTACTCTGTGGTCAAAAGGCTAGAATTATACACAGTCTGTGAATAACTGCCTGTAACTTCCTTATTACCTTCTATTATCTCAACTTCTTATTTAAGGAGCTAATTACGTGATTCCCCAGAGAAAGTTTCTTACATTTAAGTTGTTTTAAAAACACTTTAAAAACTTTCATATGACCTCAGAATCCTAACAAAAATAATTATTCAATATTGTATTTTAAAAAAATTTATATTTGCAATAAAATATTCTTTCCCTCACACCTATCCAAAGCCAGTATTTAATTTGCCTTTCATAGTTTGAAGATTTGTTGTGGTTTGTAGAATAAGTACTGAAGAAGCAGACTTGAAAATATTCAGAAAAAGAGGGTAAAAGCATTCTATGTAAAACACCCATTGGAAAAAGATCCTTGAAGATTACCAGAAAGCATGAAAAGAAGAAACAGAAAGTAAGGAGAGAATAACATTTTGTGAAAAGTGATTTTGAGAGTTGTATTAGTTGTTCATTGCTGTGACAAAATATCTGAGAAAAAAACAACTTAAAGGAGAAGAAATTTATTTTGGATCGTGGTTGCAACCCATGGTCACTTGGTCCTATCACAATGGGTCTGTGGAGAGGCACAACATCATGATGAGGAGGAGATGTGGAGCAAAGCTGTTCATATCATAATGGCCAGGAAGAAGAGAGAGAGAGAGAGAGAAAATGAGAGAGAATAAGGGCAGGAGTTTCAGCCTTCTAGGGCAAAGCTCCAGTGATCTACTTCCTCTGATGAGTCTCTACCTCCTATAGTTTTCACTACCTCCAAATAATACACGCAATTATGAGCTCATTAATGAATTAACCCACTGATGATCTCAAAGCTCTCATGATCCAATTACTGCCTCCACCAAATACTCTGAACATTGCGGTATTAAGAACCACGTCATTAACACATGAGCCTTTGGAAGAAATGCTAGACTCAAACCAGAGCAATTTAAAAGCAAAGTGTGAGAAGCAACGACTAAAAATGAAACTTTGGGAAGAGGGGAAAACGTTTAAACAGAAGTTTTAGAAAGGCCACTGTGAGTGTTACGATGAAACATGTCCAACCACCACTGTTATGTTGCTTCTCCTTATTGGTCGATGCTTTCAAATTGTTGTTACTTTGGACACGAGATTATCATTAGACTGACCCTATTCATGGTAGTCACAGGAGTGAAAAGGAGATGGGAAAAAGAGGAGGAAACATTGGAAATGGGATGGGGAGGAGGAGGAGGAAGGTAGTAGCATCACCAAAACCAAGGCCATGTAATGTGTCTGCTTCAAAGAATTGTTTCTTATGTAATCTCACCTAATGAGAATACGTTGAATTGTTCCACTGTTATTTAAAATTTTCATGGCTTTCTTTAAGGATTTGTCACTGTTATTTTTCTAATTATCCCTACCCTTCTCATTCCATAAATGTTGGAACAATTTAGATATTGTTTTTAAGGTTATTCATTAGTTTCTTCAAAGCATTTAGTGTCTAACATCTGACTCACGACCTTCTGTGGGGGATGCTCAGGTTGTGTGGGTGAGAGAGAGAAAGAAAGAGGTCACAACACCTTTGAGTGAAAACTTTTTTAGAACTTGCCAAGCCTAAGCCTCCTCTCCCCCCTTGGGCCTTTCCTCACTCTCACATTCATGCTCCCTCTTCCTTCCTTCATCTGCTCTTTATGCTCAGGGGTTTTTATTCATTTGGTTTTGCAGCACTGGTGACAGAGCCCAGGGTGTCCAGAATACTGGGCAAGTGCTCTCCTTACCACTGAGCTACACCCTTACTCCTACTCAGATGTTTTATTTATTTTTAATTGTCAAAAAAAAAACAATGAAAAGGACATAATTGTTTTTATCACAGTCACACTTCATTTGGATCAAAGTAGTAACATATTGCTTTATCATCAAACACAATAAAAAAAATCTTCCCATTTTGAAGACATAAAAGTCATTCTAAATATTGAAAGTCTTTGGTTTTTTAATGCTGGGGATTCAATTCAGGGCATTCTGCATGCTAGGCAAGAGCTCTTCCAGTGAGCTACATCCCCAGCCCCTCATCCTAAATATTACAATAAATCAAGTTAAAATTTCAAAAAATAGCTTTCCAAAACCAAATGTCTTATGATAAAGGAACACATATGAACTGTGTATATGTTTTCTCAAAACAACTAAAAGAAAACCAGTTATTTGGTTGTATAACTTAATGGCTTATATTTCAGTCGGGCACATTTTTATATAATCTTCCCACATTTTAACCTGTTATGTTGTTACTTATGGTATTTTAAATAGCAGTTTATGTCTCAAGACAGATTTTCTAGCTATCACTCTCACTAGTCCTTCTTTTTACTTCTTTGTTCCTTGCAAAGAAAGTGCTGGCGTCCCGCTGTGTGATCTAGCCTATAATCAAATTGGCCATTGTAGTTATGAAACTCATCTAACTTTCTAAGAAGGTGACATTTAAAAATCTTTATCATAACTACTTAATTTTCATTTTTGCACAATAAAGAGAAGTATTAAATATTACTTATTTCAGGTATTCAATTCAGTAATTTTAAAATAATATTCAACAAAGTAAAAATAATGCATTCATTTTGCCTCAAAAATTGGGAATCACTGGCATTTGATTGCAATAATGATTTAAAATTAACAAGCTGATTCCTTCCCAGAATACACTTGTTCTGATGACGTTCTGGTGACAAGGTAAAACTCCTCTTCATTTTAGGTACAATACTTGGATGACTTGGATTCCAAAAATCCAAGTAACACCCAAGAGATTCCATTCCCTGTAGTCACTCATCTGAACCACAGACATGAGGGACCAGTCTGAAAGAGACACGTCTGGAGCAAGTGCAGCTCCAGCTGTGCGTCATCCCTTTAATGAAGTGAAGCCTTAGAGGGAAGAACAGGGAGGATGTATCAGTTGTTAGGAAAATGTAGGCTACTGGTAGAAAATAACATCCTCTATTAATAAGATCTAAGGTGCGACTCACATAATTGTCGTAATTGTTAAGGTGGATGGGGAACATGCAGCATTTTTTTTTCATAAATGCCTAAAGTGTGTGGGACTGCATATGGGTTTAGAGAGTGATTTTTATAAAAGAAGGTGGAGATCTCAACTCCCTTTATCCTGTCTATATAAATGTCTGAGCATGTGGTTGTAGTGCTTTCTGGGAAGTGTCTTGACAGAGAACCTAAGCTCAACAAAGCAGTCTTGATCTGAGTGAGCCAGCTGACACCATGAAACTATCAGGTGTCTTTCTGCTCCTCTCTCTGGCTCTTTTCTGCCTTTTCTCAGGTGAGTTGTTTTCTTAAAATTAAAACCCCGTATTATACTGAACTGTAGATGAGAAGAGTAGTTCTTCAGCCTATTTTAAAATTCTAACAATTTTAATACGAAAGACCTATTAGGATAGATCATCATAATAGGGATGATAATGATTGTGATGATGAAAATGATGAGGGTGACAATGATGAAAAAGAATTGCCATCTACCGAGCATATCCTCCACTCTAGGCATGTGCTAAGGGCTGTTATGTATCATCTCCTTATTCATTAGTATAAGGAGTTCAGATCCCTGTTTTATATATAAGAAACTGTGGCACAGAGAAGTTAAGAAAATTGTCAGAGTATTTGCAAATAGTAAATAGAATTTCTAATTTGAATCCAGATCTTGTAGACATCACAGTTTATGCTTGCTTCAAAGAACTAATCTGGAGGATGGGTAATTGCTTTAAAATATTGACCTTAATTTTATTCTTGGCTTTCTAAGACAAAGGAAAGCTTTTGTGTCCTTAGTAATTATTACAAAGGCACTCAAATAATTAATATTGAAACAAAGGAGAAATGCTAATTCAATAAGGAAATTCTTGAAGTTATTGAGCCTTAGAATGCCGAAACATGTTATTTGTGAATTAAACAACTTTTAAGCAGGGGGATATATTTGCCACCTTAATGAACAACAGCGTGGGTATATTTTATCAACAGAAGGAATTCAAAGACAATCATACCTCAATATGACTTCTTTTCCTCTGGAGACAAAAGATTTCTAGGTACCAGGTCTATCTGAATGGACAGACCATTTGTATCTATTTTTCTTCCTTATTATTCTAGTCTTCTATGTTGGGGTGGATGGTGTGTTCACTAGGGTGTCTAGACCCAAGCAAGATCTAGTCCCATCTCGTCCACAAGTAACTGTCAACGGAGAAATGTCTAAATTCTATGAGTTATTCTTTCTTGTATAAAATGCTAGAAATGAGACTAAGCCCTCACACTTTCCATGTATGATCTATTGTTTTCTGTGACAATAGCAGATGGGTTTTGGTGTATAAAAGATTTTAAATGACTTGAACTTCTAGAATCAATTTTTCTATGAGACTTGGCTTCTGGAGAAACCTCTGCCCACAGTCACTGGACATATTTACATAAATAAATATATTTTAAATATGAAAAGAACTGGATAAAGGATTCCTGTGATGTTATGAATTAAACATGACTACTAATGTCAAATAACTTTAATGAGTAGTTCAATCAATTCCTGAGATGGGAGGAAAAAATAGACTTGACTAGGTTAAAATTTAGTTGCAAATACAGTTCCTGAAATACGTTGCTATCTTCTTGTTGCTTCTCTTTACAAAGATGAACTGATCATTAATAGTGTCTGATTGATTTATATGCCAAATTTATCAAAGCATGGGTACTTCATAAACATACTACTATTGGGAGCAAATGTGCCCAAAAGTCAAAATGTTGAAACATAGAAAGATGACTTTCAGTCTAGGCATTTCCATTTTATGGCTTTGTGACCTTTCTGAGCCTCATTTTTCTCATATGTAAAATGGGATATGAAAGGACTACCTCTCTATGGGGAACTAAATAAGAAAAAATGCATGTCAAGTGCTTAACAGAGTGGATGGGTCTTAGTAAGTGTTCAACAAATGTCTTTTTCTATTGCAATAATTAAAATCATATTTGCACAAGGGAGAATTAATTGTTAATTGTAGTAATTTTCCTAGGCCATAAAAATCACTGAAAGTATTTACCAAATTATAGACTCCCAGATCCTATCTGGGAATTTTCAAGGGGTTGTCCAAAGAACTAGTATGTTTAATAACCACCTACTCTGCTAGTTATGAATCCACGAGGTTGGTAAATACTGCTGGAAATTATTACTAACTGCCTTTCAAATTTAAAAGTTCTGTTCTCTCTTTATCCTCATTAACACAGAGTGCACTTTAAGGTATTTCCAGCTGTCCTCTCTTAAGTGATGGCCAGCATTTCAGATGTGTTGCATTCATCCACAATTCTCATGAGGTGGCCTTGGCTCAAACTCAGCAGCCTGTACCAAGATTAGACCTGGGATTTTTATTGTTTCAGTTTTTAACCTCTGAACTAACTGTTCACAATCTAAAATCATGCAGGCTAGTTCAGAAGGAAGAAGAGGAAGAGAAACAAGATTGCATATGTGTATTGTTTTCCTCTTTTAGGAATTTGGAGATATGTGGAAGGAGAAATGAGGCCTAGAGAAGGGAATGGGTTGGTCCTTACCATTTATTTGGCTTAAACTTTAGCATCTCAGTTCTGAGCTCAATGATAAGTGGACTCTCCAACTCTGTAACAAAGGCTTTGGGGAGGAACTGCATGGACTGCATTTGGGAATACCAATGTTAGAGGAGATTTTCCAATCCAACTTCTCCAAAATAATACCGAAGAGAGTAAGTCCATCCTCATAGACAATTAATTACTAGGCCAGTAGTATCACAGACATCTTCAGATCCTTAGACCATTTTCTCCCATCTCACCTTAACCTCCAACAAATATTGCCCCTTCATGGCCCATGCCCTTACAACATAACTTTCCAAGTTTCTTCTGCTCCCTAAAAAAGTGAGCAGATATAAAAATTTAAACTACATGCCATAACTTCTTGAGATAGACAAGAGCCAGGAACAGGTTTTAGGGATTACTTAAGTTTGCAAATCTCAATCTGCACATGCAAAAAAATATTGCTTGTATTTATATATTTGTATTTTACACTTTTTTCAGGTGTCGTCAGCCAAGGAGGACAGGTCAGTGCTTAGTTTTATCTATTTTTCTTACCTGGATGGTGCTTGGTTGGTATTCCCTGGCCTAAAAGTTTTCTTTATGATGTGAAAGAGCAAAACAATGAGCAGACAGGCCCAATGCAGAAATCAGCTGAAATGATGATTTTTTTAAACTACCAAATTTAAAATAGCCTATGTATGCATTCGTATATTTTGTCAGAGTAGTATGAATATAAATTAAAAATAGGAAAGATATGAGATAAAATTTAGGCTCTATCCCTGACTTCATTATGTGATCTTGGGTGGGGAAATTGGGTTCTCTGAGCTGCGATTTCGATAGTTAAAGAAAAGGAATATTATTATTCACTTCCTAGAATTGAAAGTACATATAACTTGCATAAGCTCTATGAAAATATTTGAGAAACTATAAAAGTTACATGTGGATTACTTATTGATTAGTAATTAGCCTCTGGAGGAGTTAGGACAGCAATATCATTTCTGTTTTAGAAATAAGAGCTGAAAGTAGAGAACTCGTTTAATATTGATGTTCTGAATTAAAGATACACAGACTGGCACAGTCAAATTTAAACACAATGTTGGGTTGAAAATTGGAACGCTCACAATTTGTTTTCATTGTTAGGCTTTTTTTTTTCTTTCAATTAATTCAACATGTTTTACTACCCTTCATGATCTAACTATCAAAAACTGATATAAATAAGTGCTGTTCTCTCTGCCAGTTCTACTCTTAATGTCCTCAATGATCTAGACACTATTTTTTGTTTGTTTCTTTCTTTGTTTGGTTTTTAAAAAGTGGTAATTGAATCCTGGGGCATTCTACCACTGAGATACATCATCTGTCCTTTTTATTTTTTATTTTGAGACAGAGTCTTGCTAAGTTGCCCAGGCTGAACTAAAACTTATGATCCTTCTGTTAAAGTCCCACAAGTAGGTTATAGGCATGGGACGCTCTGCCTGACTACACTAGTTGTTGTTTAGTCTTGGTGTATCTAAGAACTCTTGGCATCAAAATTTCCAGACACTACTGCCAACTGACTGAAGTTGGCAAAGAAGTTGAAAAATATTTTCCAACCCTAATATACCCATTATATTGCACAACACTTTGTTTGATTCAAATGTATCATCTTGGAAATTAAGATGCAATTTAAAATTAGTGATAGTTTACAATTAATTACCTCTGTTTTTGTGTGTTTAACACATATATGCATGTGTGTTTGTTTTGCTCTTTTAAAATTGACTCACCATATTTTAATAAGTGTAATAGCAATTCTACCTTAAATATAAAGGCACACACACACATGAAAAGAGCACAAAACTCAGCCTATGTGTTTCACATCCTATTAGGTAGTGAAATATGATGATAAGAGAAATGAGATATATCTAAAAGGCATGAAATATAATCCCAGTTTTCTCATTAACATACAAATCACTTCCTTTCTTTGGACTTTCATTGCTCAGATTTTTAATCATATTTTCTAAAGTTCATGTAAAATCCACTATTTACTGATTTTATTCCTTTAGATGGGCCGAAGTCTTATTGTTTCTTTGCTTCAGGGTCACCTGAGATGTTTTTCAGATATATAGATCCTCCTACAAGAGACTGAACAATAATTGCAGAGGCAAGGGGGTCTGGATCTTCATTCTAAATTATCATCTAGGTGACACACATACAGAATAAATTCTGATCTCTTTTCTCAGGGAGAAATCTGTACAGAGAAAAGCACTGGCCTTAGAGCCAGACAATGCAGATGAGTCCTAATTCAAATACTCACTTGCTCTTTGATTTGGGTAACATATCTTCCCTCCCATTGCCTTGGTGCCACAACTTTAAGATGAGGGGTAGGATTCAATGATCTCTAAGACCTCTTTCCCCACTAAATATTTGAATCACTATGAACTAAGCCTGACCTGTCAAGACTGCTGTCTTTCCTCCACTTAAATAGAAAGGACAGGGAAGGTTCCGCCCTTGCTGATCATGTCATGGCTACCCTTCCTCTTCTGCATGGCTGGAAGGAAACTGGAGCAGGAAAGGAAACTCACATCAGGAGTATGCCTGCTCAGGTCAGGTTCAGACAAGACCAAAGGAAGTCCATCTCAACACTCAAGTCATTCTTTGCGTGTCAAGAATTCTCTCCATGATGAATCATCTAATGGGAGATTATAGTTAGCAATTTAAATTATAGACCTTTAAACATTTCACATTCTTTCATAAAGACTGTTCATGGTCAACAGAGAGCATGTTCCCAGACTTTTGGAATTCATGTTCCAATAAAGTTTTCCCTATAAATATAAATGATTCATATTTGACCAAGTCTTTCATTTCCCTAGGATTAGAGGGTTAGGAAAACTGGTCTTAAATAACATATTAATAAGAACAGTAAAATAAAACTACTATTTACTACAGCAAGCATTTCATTAAAGAAATTGTGGGACAACATCAAAAAGTTTAAAAGACATTCTCAGAAAAAAATAGTCCTTTGAACTGAATATTTTTTTTTAATTACTCACATTGCTTTTAATGTTTTCTATTTTCCTACCAGGCTCTGTATTTGGGAACCATATCTTTAAAGTGTTGTTTAGATGAGTAGTCTGATTGGAACAAACAGAGAAAACATATTCAAAGGCAATGATTTACAAATATATTCTGCACAATATTTCTTGAGATAATTGTTTATTCTTTTTTTATTTTAAGATAAATATTGGTGGGATTTAAAACAACTAGTAAAAACAATGTTCCATGATTAGAATGAGTTTAGGACTCTTGAATGGTACTAGTTACCTGGATTTTACTTAAAATTAGTAAACTTACAGATATCTAAATATGGTTTGGAGATGTTATCCAGTATCTACAACTTAACTAGAGATGGAAAACCCAAAGCCTCAGAAAGAGGACATGGCTGGCTTGTCTGCCAGCGGCAGAGCAGCCGGGAAACCAACACCCCAGGACCACTGGATCCATATGACCAGGGCTTGAAGCAGCAATAGAAGGCCATGGAAAAGAACTTTGAGCTCTGTAATTATCTAAATAAATATGAGATAGTGATCATCATCATTTCTTTCTTTATTTCTTTTTCCTTTTTTTGTTTTTTAGTACTGGGGATTGAACTCAGGGGCACTGGACCACTGAGCCACATCCCCAGCCTTATTTTGTACTTTATTTAGAGACAGGATCTCACTGAGTTGCTTAGCACCTCGTTTTTGCTGAGGCTGGCTTTGAACTCAAGATCATCCTGCCTCTGCCTCCCAAACCACTGGGATTACAGGTTTGCTAATCCTAATTTCTGAAGCAAAAAATATGACAAAAACAATAGTACAAAATGACTTTTCTGTTCACATAAAAAAGTTTTGAAACCCAGGAGGAGAAGAAGACAGAAAGCAGAACTTACTCTATCAGTTCAGGCAAGTAATGTTGAGAGGTAGTTCAGGTAGTAAATTTGAAATCAGTCTTATTGAGGTTAAAAAATATACAAAAGGAAATTTACAAGAGTCAGGAAATGGCAATGTTTCAGGCTGAGGGTAGGCAGAGGAATCCAAAGAATGATGCTCTTATGAAAAATTGGGAAAAAAAGAGTGTAAAGCTAGAGGGAAAGATATAGAGTTATATTTTGGACATAAATACATATTAAGTATGAATCAAGTTATTGACTAGAGATGTCATATACTATGACAATTCAGAATTAGAGTTTGAGATATTGATGAAATTCAAGGAAAAAGTCTGGGATTTATCAGTATTCTTTGGGAAAAATATATGTTCTTAGAGAAAATCAAGTGTATTAAATTATCTTGAAAATAAACATGATTAATGCCAAAGAGGGATAAAAAGATTTTTAAAAAGAGAATAAGTAGTTGGGGAACCAGAGCACTGACATATTACAAAACACTACAAAGAGTTTTTAAAAGGTTGAAGTAATAAAGAGTCTTTTAAAAGTACATACCATAGGGAATCACAAACTTTTTATAAACAGCCAAGAGGGGTAGTCTGAAAGGCATCTTTTAAAGAACAGTTTCAGCAGAGTAGGAGCTGGAAAAAGCAAGGGGAGGGCACGTCAAGGCAGAGAAGGATTAGGGGGTTAGGAAAACTGGTCTGGTGAAGGATGGAGTTGATTTAGTTGCAAAGATAGTGTTTTGGGGAAAAGAGATGTCGTCCTACATTGAAGCACGTGTGTGTGTGTGTGTGTGTGTGTGTGTGTGTTATGTAGTTATAGGTGCACGCATGTGTGCTTGTGAGATTGCAATTTTCCACTGGTTTTATTTGTTCATCTAAAAAACTAGACTAAAATATTTGTGATCACAAGTCTTTAGTTGACTTGGTTGGTGACCCTGAAAGTTCAATTTTTCAACTAAGTCAATGGTTTTGTTGACTGTTATGGGAACTGAAAGGTTCACTCCATTCTGAAATGTTTTAGAAACTACAGTTCTTTGAAGAACCACAAGGGGTCAGGCTGATACTAAATATCATTCTTCTGAGTCTTGACAGTCTTAAAGCTGTAACACCAAAGTCAATAAATGGAATTTCTTCTTAAATTCAACACCACCTAAACAACACAAAATACAATAAATATCATTAAAATACGATGAATAATAATGAGCTCCAGAAATTCTGGAATGTGATACAATTTACATAACTGGTGTTTACGACAGAAATCTTCCACATAATACTTGGTATTTTACAAAGTGCTTTTATAGGATTAATCATGACATTATGATAATCCTAATTGGTATTCTCAGGCCCATGTTGAATATATAGAAACTTAAACTTAGAATAGTGAAATGTTTCCACAATGTAATGCAGCTAATAAATGAAGGAAGCAACATTTAAACCCAGGTCACTCTAATTTCATCCACTAGGACAACCCCTAACATTTCAGAAGCATTAGGGGCATTTTAATTATATTTAGAGGGATTTCAGACCTCCTGGGTCTTCTAATTGTCTCATGCATGAAACTTCAAAGGAGAAAAGGGAATCCTCCCATCATCTACTGTCTAGACCTGCTTTGACTTCTACTAAGGAACCAGTTATTTGGGTTCTATTTAAAGGAGCCCAAATTAAAAATATAAAAGATGAGAAGAAATTCTGGCAAAGGAAAAGCATGACATTAGGAAATCTTAGTCTACTTCTCCCCAGGTTGTGAGAACTGTGTTCTCTTTCTAGCCCCGATATTCTCTTGTGTCACTCTGCCTCATGGAAGAGATTTGTACATAACTCTGCAGAGGCATTTCTCATCTTCCCCAATTCTTGGGCCCACAGAGAGTGGTTCTTCTTCTGTCCACAGCCACCATGCTAAAATTTCTCACACAGTGAATACAGGGAGCTCTCTAGATATAAAAGAAGAAGCATTTGGCCAAAGTTGCTATTTCTTTCACCCAACTGAAGAACTTGAGACTTTTATTTAAGCTGCTTCACTGAAAGTAGTCACTGCTAAATCTTGGACCATTAAACCAAAAAGGGCCATTAAAAACACATAATCTCAGGGGCAGGCCAGTTTCTATGAGCTGCAGATGCCTTTCAGAGCTTCAGTTAGGAGAGACCTCCAGTGAGAAGGTTACTGTCTACATTCCTAATCCAGAACTATTTCAGATGGTGCCCAATGACTGTCTACAACTCTTGCATGACCAACTTTGACCCCTATGAACAACCCTGAGATTCTGGGAACCAGGCAGATCCAATGTTCTTTGGTTCATTTGTTATTTGGCTAAGAAAATGGAGTGCTTCGTCTAAGGTGACACACATAATCATCAGCAGAACGTACTTGCTGCAGACCACTGCAACTTAAAAGAATGAAATCCATCTGTTCTAAGGAGCTATGCTGATTGGTTGGATTTGATATACTGAAATTCTTCTCCCTCCTGGTCCCCTTTCCAGGGGACATAAGCAGGGATATCAAATGGGCTTGAGGGAGGCAGGGTCTGGAGGCTCTCAAAGTGGATGCTCTCCCCAAGTGCCTCTTCCATATCTGCTTTCTAAAGGACAAAAGAGGCTGGATCACAAGATCAAAGGGCCGCCTGCCAGGGAAAGGTGCCTTAAGGACCCGTCTCTTTCAAGTAAGAGACTTTCTTGTTTACTTTGCTCACTGTCTTGAGACTCTAGATGGAGCTGCCTGGTGCTCAGCTTTCCTCCTGCCTGTGCTGGTCCCAGTGAAGCAGTTATCATGCTTGGCACTGTCCTTATCCCAGCTCTTCTTTGCCGCTCTAATGCAGATGAGACTGTGTGCTTCCTGATACAGTGTTGGTTACCAATTCTTCTTTGGATGACCAGCACCCAGAACTGTGTGATAAAATATCAACGATGATACCTTGTTGAATCAAGCACACTGCTGTGAATGTAGACATTAGTGACTTAAATATAAAATACATAAGCTTTCCAGATAAAGGTGCCCTGTAACTTATGCAGGTCTCAAGATTGTCCAGTCTTGTGTCCATTTCAAAACCCAAGGGGACGATCTGTGTTCTGGAAGTAGGATGAAAGGATAGGATTATCCCTCAGGGTGGTGGGGAAAATAAGGACCAGAGCTGATAAGCCCCACACCATCCAGACTCAAGTGTATTTAGTGCCAAATTTCAACAAAAATGTGCGATTTGCAATTTTAGGTACTTTAAACTTAAAATATGTTTTTGACCTAACTGTATGACTCAATGATAAATTTCCCATGCAAACCTTCAGATAAATTTGTTAGTGTACAGTGGTCTGCTAACATCTTTTAAAAAATGATTCCTCTTGATTGTTCATATATTTTCCCAAAATATTATCTTTTAGATAAATGTTGTTGTGTACAAGATATACAGCATGATGTTGTGAGATAAATATGGATATTAAAAGGATGGCCATAGTCAACATATCCATCACCTCAAATAAGTACTCGTGTTTTGTTTGTGTTGGTGTAGGAGCAGCTAAAATATACTCATTTATCATGAATCCCCCAGATGGTACAATTGAAGAACTGATAATCCTTATGTTGTATATGAGACCTAATAAGCTATTTTAATGAAACCTACATGTCCTGACTACAAGTGCAATCAAGGGCACATAGTGATAGATGATCTTCAATTCTCTCAGTAAGACTATATTGGAAATCAACCACAGTAAACTGTTGGAAATTCTGAACCAGCAATGAGAAGAAATATGTTCAAGCATTGGGAAGCCACTTAAATTTCCAGAAGACCAGAATTCCCATCTCTCAACTGATTATTAAAATATAGCTAATAGAACTCTCAAGATTATTGCTAGGCCCAACTGAAGTAATCTATATGTAAGTAGCTAAATATTATAAAGCAATTGATAATTATAAAACATTATTTTAATGGAACTAGAACAGAGATAAAGCAAGTTTCCTTCATTCACATGTAAATGCCACTACATGCACATAGCTGTTATTAGAAGGCAATCAGTTTAAGCTATTTCATATTGATTGTACCCTGCAAAAAAAGGCACAAATTTCATTTGCACAACATTCACCAAATTGACATTGCATTAAAATGTCAGACTCCTTTTGAAATACCACTATAACTGAGCCAATATATTAGTGCACAGGTGACATCATTCCTTCCCATGATTATGGTTACTAATCCGTCAAAACACATAGTCTCAACAAGACTAAAGGCAACCTCAGACTTCTTCTAAACACAGCAACTTAGGCAGTCATTACTAAATTATTGTAGTGGGCACAAAAATTCAAATTCTACAAACAGACTTTGAGGCAAAATAACTTAATATAAAGACATTAGACTCTGGTTTTCAAGGGATAATAAGTGATGCTGAATCCACTGAAAAAATTATAAAACATTAGGTAATGTCTGGGGGCCCTTGAAAGGATCACCTATGTTTTTATTTTAATTTAATTTGTTTATTTTTATGTGGTACTGAGGATCAAACCCAGTGCCTCACACAAGCAAGGCAAGCACTCTGCCTCTGAGCTACAGCCCCAGCCCACCTATATTTTTATAGTATGCAGAAAAAGTATTATTAGAGCACATCAATACAGTTTTTCAAACTGTCATTTAATGACCTCCAAAACTACTCTCAGTTGGAGTAATTTATTGTTGGAGCAAAAATTCTTAACTATAGCATTGGACATTGTTAATGTATTCCTGAATACAATAATTTTACAGTGTATTTCTTATAAGGAATTTCCTATGGCTTAAAGAAAAAGTCTCAGTTGTATTTAATGTATTCTACATAAGCAGATAATGAAAGCTATTCTCTAGTTCAGGAAGTTCTTATGTCACAACTATATATACATATATGTCACAAATATACGTATGTATCATATATAAGTAAATGTACATATCTTATATATGTACTCATACATATATGTATTTATTTATATACATATATATTGCAAATATGTATATATATGTATAAATCCATGCATATATCTCTCTATATGTATACGCATATATGTTTGTGGCATATATATGTGTGTATACATATATGCACATATACACACATGTATGTACATATACATACATATATATATATATATATATATATATACACATATATATATATATTTATTTGTGTGGTTTTAAAATTTCGCTGCCCAAAGCTTCTGTTTGGAGGACAGTCCTTGAGATAGAAGGTGCTGATGTAAGTGTCACTGTGCTTACTTTGTAGATCGACTGTGGAGAGTTCCGTGATCCCAAGGTATTCTGTACTCGGGAATCCAACCCCCACTGTGGCTCTGATGGCCAGACATATGGCAATAAATGTTCCTTCTGTAAGGCAGTGGCGTAAGTGTCATACTCACCACACCTGTCCCTTGCAAGCAAAAACCTCCAGAATAAGACTGAGATGCTTTTCTTGAAGCATTTTAGAAAGTTCTACCCATACTCACTATAGAGACTGAAGAAACAAGACTCAGGCAAATTGATTGAAAACAAATTGTCAAAAGCAACAAATAAAAAACAAAAAACAAATAATTTAAAAATAATGATCATCACTTTACTCTGTTATTATTAGTTTTGATTTATATTAGGTTATTTTAAAAATTATATGTCATATACATAGAAATAACTTTGACACCTTGTATTTTTATTTATTTTTAATTTAAAACATGAATTCATAATGAACATGTTGGTTAGTGTATAACATAACTCACTAATTAATACTGAATTTTCTCAGGAAGGTCAGTGGGGTAGAACAAAATTTGAATATATGGGTGCATACTAATAAGAGGTCCAGAATGTGTAGTCTTCTAGAAAATGACAAATACATGAATATTTGGTTCATTTTTTCACATCTTCTGTCAGGATAGAACTATGACATCAGAGTCTCTTTGCTGTTATTCCTTCTGTTACTTCTGCCTTTTCCATATGTATATCTATTTCCTCACTGAGAATGAGCAATTGGTGCTGAAAGATCTGTCTTATCAAAACAGATTTGCCAGGCATGGTGGTGCATGCCTGTAATCCCAGCAGCTCTGGAGGCTGAGGCAGGAGGATCGCGAATTCAAGGCCAGCCTCAGCAAAAGTGAGGCGCAAAGCAACTCAATGAGTCCTTGTCTCTAAATAAAATACAAAATAGGGCTGGGGATGTAGCTCAGTGGTCAAGTGCCCCTGAGTTCAATCTCCAGTACCAAAAACCAAACCAAAACAACAATAATAAAAAATCCCTGAGATTTGTTTAAGACTTATGCTCTCCAAAGTTAGGCCAGATGTTACTTGTGAGTGTATTTAATTAACCTCTGCTACATAATAGATACGGATATCTATAGAATCAAATGAGTGGAAGGACCATGACATGCCATAGCTAAACCTGTTTCCGACCTCTGAGCTGAGTACTTGGGATGTTGCACTGAGGATGTATTTGTCTTATTTTATTTTATTATTTTTTAGGAAAAGTGATGGGAAGATTATCCTAAAGCATCCAGGAAAATGCTGAATTATAGCCAGTGTTTTATTCTGGCTTGCCGACTCTCAAATCTTTCTTCACTTCTGTTTTTACTTTTCTTCAGCGAATCCCTTGAATTTGTAAAGACATACCTTCTACTCTATCTGGATCTTCAGGAGTTGATGATGTATTTCCCTTGATTCGCTTGTCAATAAAGTAAATTCTGCAGAAGCATTAACTGTGTTTTTACTTTGAGATCAAGAGAGAATACAGATACACCATAAAATTACTGAAGCAGCATGAAAGTGGATGAGACCTGTTTTTCAAATCTAAATTGACCATCCAATTACTGTGAAATTATAGGAAAACTATCTTTTTTTTCCAGTTGTAGTCTTCATGAGAGTAATGAAAGATTTTTGAAAAGATGGCCATGTGTTATTCTTACAATTATTTAAAAACACTATTTTTAAGAATTAGATCACATAATGCTGATTCTTCCTAGTTTAAGGAAAAGATTTGGTATAAAAACAAAACTTTTGTGCTTTGTGGACCCTAGTATCCTCCTGTATCTGGAATAAGATCTAAACCACATGATCTAACAACATGTGGTACTCAGTTTCCCAGGGTCTACCAGATAGAAAAAAAAAGAATAAATTTTCAGTAAACAGTGACTTTTTGATACATGGTAAACATCCAATGAATATCCAGTGAACATACCAAAATCTCCAAAACAATATATATTCTGAGAATGTAGATACATTTTAAGCTTCATTGTGAAGTTAGAAAACTGTATAAATATTAGAAATCCTGGATTTAATTTGTTACCTGCTAGAGAAAACAGCTCCAATATTCCTTGGAAAACTGGGAATGGAACTATCATTTGACCCAGCTATTCCACTCTGGTTTGTACCCAAAGGACTTACCAGCATACTACAGTGATGCATCCACATCAATGTTTATAGCAGCTCAATTCACAATAGCTAAGCCGTGGAACTAACCTAGAAGCTGTGGACAAAGAAAATGTGGCATATATACACAATGGAATATTACTCAGCATTAAAAGAGAATAAAATCATGACATTTGCAGGTAAATTGATGGAGTTGGAGAATATAATGCTAAGTGAAGTAAGCCAATCCCAAAAACCCAAATTCCAAATGTCTTCTCTGATATAAGGATGCTGATTCATAATGGGGGTGGATGTGGAGCACAGGAGGAACAGACAAACCTTAGATAGGACAAAGTGGAGGGAGGAGGTATGGGATAGGAAAGATGATGGAATGAAACAGACTTCATTACCCTAAGTACATGTATGAAAACACGAATGGTGTGACTCTGATTTGTGTACAACCAGAGACATGAAAAATTGTGCTCCATTTGTGTAATATGAATTGAATTGCACTCTGCTGTGATATATAACAAATTAGAATAAATTAAAAAAAGAAAACAGCTCCAGTTAGAATAAAACTGAAGGTTGAATACAGCCCTTTTGATAACCAGCTCAGTTTCATTGTAGCTGGCTCTATTCTGTGAAAACCCAGATTGCATATATAAATTGTCTCATCCTGAGAAAGTCAAATGAAAACCTTGGGATTTCCCTTTGATGTTTTCATATACTAGCACATATTTTTATAAATATATCTTCCTGGGAAGATGTACACAGAGTACCTCTCTGGATACAGTTTCAATGTAATAAATAGCATTTACTGGGTGTCAACTTTGGGGCAGACTTGGTTATGAGTGTTGGATACAGCTGTGGATGGGAGTAAGATGGGCCAACAATCCTTCAACAATTAGGGAGAAGTAGATAAAAACAATGAATGTAATCAACAAGTAAGTGACATCCTAAGAAAGAAGGTGCTAAAGGTTGTAAGACAAAGTTCAGGCCGACTGTGTTCATAGAGAACTGCCAAGGGAGGGGTGGTAGTTTGTGTAGTACTAAAGCCAGTGGTTAGAATTGCTCTACTTGGAAAACTGGGAGATGAGAGAACTGATCAAGCAAATATCTTGTAGAAGAGAAAAAAGAGAAGTTAGAACACAGTCTTCAAGACTGGAGAACGCCTGATTTGCTCCAAAAAAAAAATATTAACAGTCAAAATATAGGGATTTGGGAAGTGTTAACTATGACATGCATAAAGAAGTTTTAGATAGAAGGGCTCTGATGGGGACTGTTTACTTTGAATTGCATCTGAGATGAATCAATGGACAGGTAGGTGAATAGAATATTGATAAAGTACATGTGGAATCCTTAAAAAAAAAAAACATTAAGTAGAAACCAGAGTAGAATGGTAGTTAATGGGGGAAATTAAGTCAAAGTGTAAAACTTTCCAATTATTTGGGATTAATAAGTCTTAGGGATCTATGTATACCATCAGAACTATAGTTAATAATTTTGTATTGATGCTAAAAATGTACCAAGAGAATGGCTATTAGGTATTCTTAACACAAACACACAAACATACATGTGCACATACAAGTGCACGTGAACACACACACACAGAGCTTCTTCGGAATAATATTGATATATAATCTGACTACTTAGCATTTCACAGTGTAAATATATATAAGAGCATTTTACACACTTTAAGTATGTTCAATAAAAAATATAAAATGTTAGTGATTTGATCTAGATTTACAGGTATTCACTCTAAAATTGTTTTAATATTCCTATACCTTTGGAAATTTCCAATAAAAATATTTATTTGAATGGCAAAATACAAGAGACTCTGTCAACAGGGAACAGATATTCACAATTCAGTGTAAACCCTTCATTTTTGTGCTATCTAGGGCAGAACATCCTGTTTCAAGTATGGTTTTGTACTTCATGCTCCAAAGCATAACATGATAATTTATTTGATCTGAACACCCATATCTATCATTATACCTTCAGATTAAAATGGGAACATTGATAAAATTGTATCATACCAGACTTATCATCATTAAATGTCCTTAAATATTTTTATTTCCCTACTCCAATTGGTACCAAGTCACATCTTTTTTCAGATTTTTCCCTCTTCCTGGCATTCTGAAGGTACATGCATGACAAAAAATAGTATTTTAAATCAGTGATTAGGTTTGAGTGAAAAGGCATTGCAGGGGAATATTTACAACAATGCAAAGGTTTCCAAAGTGAAACATGCACACACACACACACACACATGCACACACACACACACAAAAGCATACTAATGTAAAAGGAAGTTCAACACTAAAAAGCTATGGAAAATAGTTACTAACATAGAGATTGATTTAACTCATCACTAATGTCAACAAATCTATTTATTGTGTGTGTGTGTGTGTTTGTATGTATATATATATATATATATATATATATATATATATATATATATATATATAATCACATTTAAAGTTAGTAATTGCTGTGAATTGTAACCCAGTTTTATAAAAGAGAAGCTTCTTATTCAGAGATTTAAATGATATTTTTTTTTCTACAATCATAGTCTGAGCTGTGGAGTCTAAATATAAACCCAGGATAGTTAGGGAAAATCTCAAATTTCCAAAATATGTATCATGTAATCATAGTAATTTGAGTGATTTGGATTTAAGTGTTGAATTAGAAGGATTAGTCTCATATATATGGTTATATCAGAAATAGAAATATTTAACAAAGGTTTAAGCAAATTTGTAAAGAAGACGACTTTTATCTGTCACAATCCCTGATCTGTATGTTATTAGGTTATTTTGTGGTGGGACTTCAGTTTTAGCTTAAGAAGGTTTCTGTTCAAATGAGCTGACCTACTCTGAGCTAAGCATCTAATGAACTGCTTTCCTGGTCTTACTTTGACTTTGTTTTTTTCTCACAGAGCTGACACCTCTGACCTTTCAAAATGTGGGTCCATTTCTGTTCAGCAGTTTGAGTTGAAGAGGCAGAATAGATTCTCCCTGCTTTAGTGTAAAAAAGCTTAGGACTTAATGAGGAAAGAGTACCCTTGCATGGCCCAGTTTATCTCACTACAGCACCTTTTAGATTCAATAAAAGGTGTACTAAACGAATGCAAATAATAGCGCAAAAATCTTGTGCCTCCTGGGAGTTACTGTGGATCACTTTGAGCATTATCTTTGGCTAAATAATAAAAGTCTTATTGAGTATATATAGTATCATTTGTTTTCAATCAAAACAGAGTATGTCTCCCCATGTTATTATGTCTTCTCCAGTTTCTACTGGCAAAGATTTATAATTTTCAATTAAATTTATTGGCTATGTATTTTCAGGGTTTTTCCTCCTTTGGCAATATTAGGGATTAAATCCAGAGACACTCTACTACTGAGCTATATACTCAGCCCTTTTTATTTTTTATTTGTATAAAGAGTGTTACTAAGTTGCTGAGGCTGGCCTTGAACTCATGATCCTCCCTCCTCAGCCTCCTGAGTTTCTAGGATTTCAGGTGTGTGCTACTGCACCTGGCAAGTATTTTCATCTTTTGATAATGTTATAAATAGACTTGGCACTGTGGTGACACATTCCTATAATCCTAGCAACTCAGGAGGTTGAGGCATGAAGATGATGAGTTCAAAGACAGCCTCAGCAACTTAGCAAAACTCCAAGCAACTCAGCAAGACTCTGTTTCTAATAAAATATTAAAAAGGGCTGAGATGTAGCTCAGTGGTTAAGTTCCCCTGGGTTGAATCCCTGGTACCCAAATAATAATAATAATAACAATAATCATAATAATAAATTTAAAAATGGACTTGGTCTCTTAGTTTCTTTTTGGATTGTTGTTGTTAGTGTATAGATATATAGCTGATTTTGTGTTGATTTTGTATTATATACTTTATCCAATTCTTTTATTAGCTCTAAAAGTATTTTTGTGGAATCTTAAGGGTTTTACATTTGAGGTCATGGCATCAAAACCCAAGAATAATTTTGTTTCTTCTTTTCCAATTTAGACATATTTATTTATTTTTCTTTTCTAATTGATCTGGCTAGAACTTCCAATCCTATTTTGGATAAAAGTATGAAACTAGTCTTTTGTTTGGTTCCCAACCCTTAGGAGGAAGATTTTGTTCTTTCACAATTACATTGATTGTTAGCTAAGGATTTCCAAATATGGCCTTTGTCATCTTGAAGTTTTCTTCTATTCCTAATTTACTGATATTTTAACCAAGTAAGTATATTGAAATTGTTCAAATACTTTTTCTACATCAATCAAATTTTCCCCCTTTC